GGTCCTACTGGCAAATCTACTTGCTTCTACCATTCTCCCTCTACAATAGGACTTGGGAACCCTATCTTTCACATCTTTATAGTCAGGCTAGCAAAGTGCAGACAACTAAGTCAATCCCAGCAGTTCAGACACTTTATGCCAGGTGCAAGGAACTCTAAGATGAATGAGACAGATGGCACAGGTGACCTCAGGAAGGGTGGGCTCCAGAGGAGGCAGGCCAGGGATATAAAGCAGCAGCTATGATGAAAGCAGGGCATCAGGAAGGATTTGTGTCAGGCTGTAGGGAACACACAGGGCCCAGAGCAGAATGTCAGTGTGAAGAGTCACACATTTGATCTGCAAGTCAGGAGAGGAACAGGCACCCGAGACAAGCACTGAACAGTGGCACAGGACTGAGGGATAAGGCTGGGTCTGGAGACCATTGCACCTTCTGTGGTGGCTGGAATAAAAGCTATAGGGAAAGGGATAACTGCAAGCTTGGCATGCCAAGGAGTTTGACCTTACCAGGTATTATGAAAGCATTAGTAGTTACACAGAGGGACAGGTTTAGATCTGTTTTTAAAACAAGTGCTCTCAGGGCTGGTGGAGTGGCTCAAGTGGTAGAGGTCTGCCTAATAAGCCTACCAAGCATGAGGCCCTGCGTTCAAACCTCAGTACCACCAAAAAAAAAAAAAAGTGCTCTAGTGATAATGTGAGAGGTACACATGGTAGAGGAGGGGGATGTGGAGAGACTGTTTCGAGGCCAGATAAATAGGTAATCAGTTCCAGTCATTTCTGCAGTGTAAACTATAGACTGTAGGCTTACTGGCAAAATGTGAGAACCTCTACCAATGAGTAGGATGCTAGAGTGACCAACCAATGGCAAGTGAGAGAGGGAACTTCGAACTACTCCAAGGTCCCTAGCACTCCTGGACAATCAAAATGCATACATACTGTAATCCCAGCTATTCAGGAGGCAGAGATCAGGAGGAGTGTGGTTCGAAGCCAGTCCAAAACACATACATGGTGTGAATCGAGTTCAAGGCCAGCCTGGGCTGCACAGTGAGACCCTGTCTCAAAAAAACAAGGACTGTGGATATAGCAAAGAGGCATAATGTTTGCCTAACACCCAGAAAGCCCAGGTTCCATCTCCAGCACCACAATAAATAAACAAGTAAATGAATGAATGAAAGGATGAATGAATGAAGGCAAAAGGCAGTTATTTCCACAGTTCATAATCTGAAAAACCTCCACAGGAAACTTCCTATTTCTTATTCATTCCTATCATGAGACTCAGCATATAGTCAATTAATTACAGTCAATACCAAGTATTTTTAATAGGTTTTGAAGAGCTATTTATACTAAATGCAAAACACAGTGGGGAGGAAAGTAACTGGCAGCTAAAAAAGCATTTGCATTTGCCCATTTTACCACTACACCAGTGACTTCAGAACCACCTGACAGGTCTGCTTACTTCCAAAAGTACCAAACTACTATAAATATGCCACTGGTGTCAAACACTAACAGCAAAAAGTTCTTCCCCACAGTCCCACTTATGGCCCAGTTAATTCGGTACCAATTCAGACAATCACAAAGGTCTTTACATCCTTTCCAAAGTGGCCATCAGACACCTAAATTTAGTTCACTCATACTAGGGCTGAGCAAGAACACTGAGAACTAATGGGTCACTCTAGATGACTAGAACTTCCCAATCTCTCCATGTCATTTCCGTTTGTCTTTTTTTTTTTTTTAAACAAAGTGAGTCATAGTATATAGATCTTTCTCCTCTGCATAAAATACAGTGTTTTGTTTTGTTTGTTTTCCTCTGAAGAGGCTGATGTTTAAGAGGCCCTTGGCGAGTTTTAATATCTGTCTTCTTGGAATATAACAACATAAGCTGTATATTCTAGTAAGGCGTTTTAGTGCATTACTGATGTGGCATGGTTTTAAATGTACTCAGACACTGGATCATAATCCGTAAGGAAGGCAGGGGAAGGGCAGCCCATTTTACAAAGCCTGCCTCTAACATGAAGCAAATCTTGTTTTCAAATGGTGAGGTACTGTGGCCTCTCCTTTATCTCAAACACTCAATTCAGGAGTGAACCGTGCCAGAGAATCAAAGAACACAGAGATGAGAAAACCAGAAAAACACCTGGCCCAAGTCCTCTTACACTACAGTCTTTTCATTCATTCAAGCCCTCTCTTCTCTCACTGCAGCTAAGTCAACCCCACCTGCAATGTAGACAGTGAGACCAACTCAAACAGGAGGCTCCCTGAGCGCTACTTCTGCTTTTCAACTAGATGATTTTAAATTGTTAAAATGCTAGAAGACAATTTTTAAAAGTCATCTACATCTGCTAACAAAGCTGACTTTTTATAGACCTAAATGCCTATTACCATCTACACTACTTGTGAGCTAAAGATAAAAATACTCTTATGTTCACTTTATCAAACTGAACTAGCAAGGCATCTTTGCCTGAAATGTGTCTTCTAAGCTCCCATATTTGTCAGCACTCAAAAGTCCACTTTATCTTTTGTTCTTTCCCATTTGTTTCCGAGTTTGTGCATCTTTCTGTTACAATTAGAAAAGCTAAGAAGTTATTACATTATAAAAATTACATATATTTTCTAATTTATAACAGACTTTCAAGCTCAAATATGATTTTGTATAAGACTGTCTTCATTTTAACATAAGATATCAGTTGCTTTGTTTTGTTTTGGGCAGGCACTCTCCCCCTTGAGCCACTCCACCAGCCCTAAAATATCAATTTTTCAATCTTCCCTTTTCTACAATTGTAAACACATTTGTTTGAAATCCTGAAAATAATGGTTTTGTTAAACTACATATACCTTGGAAAATGAGCCAATTTAGATTTCACTCAAGGTCATTTAATTAGTTTTTTAAAATGGCACAGTTGTAAGATAAAGAGTCACTTTGACGGTTTAAACAGAAGAGCTTCTAATTTAGATTTTAGAAAAGAAAAATATTTGCAAGGTAGGTGAGAAAAGCTTATAGTGACAGTTATTTAAGATAAAAGAAACCACCTCAAGGACAATTAAGAAGCTGGGGAAATCTTAACATCTTGACTAACTTGTGGGGTTTAAATGTAGTGGAAAAATTTAAGAACACAGTGGGAAGTTAACTGAAGATCACCATGGTCCATGCCAGAATTTTTAACACAGTTTTAACAAGGCTTGGGTTCAGGTCAGGCCACTCTGACCTAAAGCCGTAATAAACCAAATTCAGCCAGAACTTAGCTATGATGTGAACGTTCTGCTAATTCAGTCAGTTTCAGTATAAAAGATTTCCTTAAAGCCTCCACTTGTGACGGGGCACATGGTAATCAACCCCAATGCTTTGGACCAGCAATTTCATGGAAAGGCACTCTGGCTCAATAGAGGTCAGCCTCATGCAGAAAATCTATCTACATATTGCACTGGTGGAATTCATTCAATTAATTCAGAGACTAGACATGGAATACAAACATTACAATCATACAGATTACAGTAGTTACAAATATTAGTCTACCAGAAGCTAATCTGCAGTACAGACCAAGTAAAAAGAATCCTGCCAAAGAAACTTGAAATCAAGGCCACCCAAAAAAAAAGACTCGCTAGTCCATCACACCAAAGAACTGCCCTAGCGAAGCTCAAAATAGATTTTAGTGTTACAGTTGATGGATCTGCCTCTGAGTTTATAAACTGAAAACAGAATAAACTACCTTCTCCCTTTACCCAAGTAACAAATCTATTTTGTATATGGCTTATTTAAGACACTGAGAGCGTGTGGTTTTGGCTAATCCTCACAACCCCCACAATGACATTTAATCGGGAGCACATATTTTCTTTAAAGGGTTTAGCTGCTTGTGAGAGGCCAATGTTTCTTCATCTGATGTTTATAGACATGTGAGAAATCCTACCTTCCTAACTTTTTATTTCTGAGCCACCATAACCCATGCCAGGATGAGATCTCACAAAACATGATCATCCCAAAGGATAAGATGCTCATGAGCCATTTTAGAGAGGGTGAAAACCTTAACCTTCTCTCCTCTCTGTTTGAAAGGGGATATTGTGAGGGAGGTGAGCAGGTACTGCAGCCCCCCTGGCTGGAAGACTAGCTAACCTGACCATCTCCTGGCTCGCTGCTCCTCCTCACTCTGCGCACAGAGCAAAGGCCTTTCTTTGCAGGCCCTGCCCTGATCCCCTTCTCTAAGGCAGCTGGCCCTGCACGCAGTCACCCTCCACCGCCTAGGAGAATACCGTCTTCACCGCACTCGCCGCCACCTGGGATGATCCGCTTCTGGGCTGGTTCAAGCTCCACCAGGGACAGGGTCTCGCCTTCCTGTTCAATAAACACAACCTCCAAGGCAGCAGGGAATCGGCTGGCCAGTTCATACCCAATAAATGAATGAACAGGAAGGCGACTGTCATCCTGGGGACTCGACGCACACTGAGACTAGGGGAAAGGAAATGTGAAGGGGGGGGTTCCCCCAGGGTAGACGAGAAAGAAAGAAAAGGATGAAAGAAGAAAAAAGAAAGAAAAAGAAAAGGGAGAGCGGAAGAAAAAAAGAGGGAAGAAAAGTAAGAAAATGAAAAAGAAAAGATAACGAAAAGAAGAAAAAGAGGAAAGAGAAAAAGGGAGCAAAGGAAGAGAGTCTGGGGTGGTCCCGTCCAGAAAAGGAAGTAGTGGGGGTGTTAAATCAGCCCGGGGGACAAAGGGTGGACAGCAGGGGGGCGGGGCCGGGCGCGAGGGACCCGCGCGGAAGAGTCAGATGCCGGCTCCAGGCTTAAGGGATCACCGGGCTGGGCCGGACCGTAATAGGTAGGTGAGGGATAAAAAGGGGCAGTCGGGCCCGCTGGCGGACAAAGACACCGGGCAGCCGGCGCCGCGCTCGGGTCGAATCCTCCCTCCAGCGCGAGGGCCGAGGCGGAGGGTGCGACCCAAAAGGAGAACGGGGGGCAGAGGGGAAGGTTCACGCGGCCTAAGCTCAGGGCCTGCCGCGCTCCGGGCGCTCCCGTACCTGGTAAATGGCCGCCCAGCTCCCGGCCTTGTCGATCTGCTCGAACTCCTTTTCCATCTCCATGATGGGCCAGGGCGGTTGCTGCGCCTCCCCCTCCTCCGCCCACTGCTGCCGTCTGCTGCGCTAGGCCGCGTCGCGCTCTCGGCCCCAAGGCCCGCCGCAAGTCTCAGTCCCGCTGCTACCGCCGCCCTAGCCGCCGCTGCTGCTTCTTCATGTCAACCCGGCAGCCGGAAGTACGCACCCCGCCCGCCGCGGGCACCGCCCCCGGCGCGGAACGACCAATCAGCACTCGACAGTGTCAGCGAGCACTTCCGCGAGGCGGAGCAGGGGGAGGGACTGGGGGAAGTGGCCTCGGCCCCGCGAGACATTTGTGCTGCGCACGCTCCTCTCTCCGCTCCCGGGCAGCGTGCCCGGGCGTGGTGCGCGCCCGTTGCCTAGGCGACCCCAGGGGCGCCCCGCCCACGGCGCGTGAGATGGGAAGGCCCTGCGGACCTAGAGTTCTAGCCTCCACCCGGCGAGTTGATTCCGAGAGAGTGACCTTCAGGTAGCTGTACATCTCTCCTGCGGGGCCAGGGCTTCAGTGCTCCTAGTTGGGATTACGGGCGCTAGAACCAGGTGTCCCATCTTTTTTTTTTTTTTTTTTTTTCATGAAATTAAGAGAGCTTCATGATTCTCCAAGCTGCTGGAGAAAGCCCACTACTCTCTAACAGCAGTGTCTCCGTTTGAAACGCAAGACCAGAATGATGAATGCATGGGGTCCTGGGATGGTTTTCAGTATTTCCAAATTATCAAGAAAATTCTGCTCAGCCTGAACTCAGTGGAGTACAAATTCTTGGGTGCGTTACATCACGGGAGAACGTGTCGAATGATGCTGGATCCTGGGCCCACCTCCAAAGGATTCAGATAGCCTGGGGCTGAGGCCCAGGAATCTGCATTTCACCCCCAGCCAATTCTAGCACTGTGGTCTTTGAAGCACATATGAGCAGAGTGGTTGAGGTGGCCTCCCTGTAGGAAGCTAGGTTGAAGCTTCAGAGGACCACATCATCAGGTTCCTGTGCCCATCACAAGCCTGCCTGGAGCTACAGGCTGAATTCCAGTTCAGTTGGATGCCTCATTCTCACTTTCCAGAGCAACTCTCCGAAACAGGCATTATTATCCCCTTAGTATAGACCAGAGACAGAGGCAAGATCACTTGCCCAGAGTGGCTTTGCAAGCTGGAATGGAGGCTTTGGAGTGGCTGAAGTGGTAGAGCACCTGCCTAGTAAATGTGGAGGGCCCTGAGTTTCAAAAGCCCCAATGGTTTGTTTTGAACCTCTGGTAACTTGCAATAATAAATAATAAAAAGAAAAGGCAAAAGGCTTGTTTTGGGGGGGGGCCCCAGCACTGGTGGCCCCTCACGTCCTGGTAATCCTTAGCTACTCAGAGGCCAGGAATCAGAGGTAATTGAAGTTTGAAGACCGCCAGCCTGGGCAAATTAGTCTGTAGACCTATCTGAAAAAAAAAAAAAACATCCCAAAAGAGAGTCAGAGTGGCTCAAAGTGGTAGAGAAAGCAACCTGGTAGAGCACCTGACTAGCAAGTATGAGGCCCTGAGTTCAAACCCCATGGAATGGAAACTAGGATTCCCACCTGGCCTTCAGAGGAATGATTGCTTTGGAACCAGGCTGCCTAGGTCCAGACTCCAGCTCTACTAAACAGTCTTGGACAAATGACTGTTAATCCCTGTCTCTGTTTTCTTCTTTGTAAAATGGAGATGCTCAAAATGCCCAGCTGATAAAGACTGAATGATTCATCAAATGCTCTTGGTATAATGAGGGACTCAGTAATAATTACCCCCCTTCATAATAAGCGGCAAATGAAAAGATTCTTACTGAATTGAATATGCTGTATCTTTCATACCGAGTGTATTTTCCATAGGGGAACACATTTTTACATAAAATTGCCTGTTCTGGTGAAGACTTTGGGAGCCCCACACTTGGAAGTTGCCTAATTTAAGCCTTAGCCCCCTTAAGTGATGGTCCATGCTTTCGTGCTTCTCCTGCCCTCATAGGACACATCTAACGGCCCGCTATTTAATTTTGCAAGCAATACTGAGCTCTTTGGGGGAAGAGAGAACAGGGCTTGTTCATTTCATCACTGTGTGCCCATGCAACTAGGCTAATAAATCAAATGCTCATCCTTAGCCCAGGTGACACTCAGACCTGCAGGGGTGCCACCTGTGATGGTAATACGCCGGAGCAAAGGGCCCATAAAGCCCTACATAGGATCTTCTCAGTTGGGGGAGGGGAGGGGGGAGCCCCCGCAGCAGGCCCTCAGGTTTTGGGCTGTTTATTGGATGTCCTAATCTCTTGTGGCTGCTGTGACCAACTGGTGGCTTAAAATAACAGAAATGTAGCACTCTCAGTTCTTGAGGCCACAAAAGCCTAAAACCCATGTGTTGTCAGGGCTCCCCACCCTCTAGCCCTGAGAGCACCTCCCTACCTGTTCCAGCTCTGCTGGATACACTCCTTTCCTGGCCTGTCACTGCATCAGCCCCTCTGCCTCATCTTCACTTGGCCTCTGCTCTATGTCTCCTTATAAGGACATCTGTCATTAAATCTAGAGCCCATCCTGAGCCAGAATGATCTTTCAGCCCTGGGTAATCCAGATAACCCCATCACATGATCATTAATTATATGTACAAAGACCCTTTTCCAAATCAGCTCGCATTCATAGGTCCTAGGTGTCCCATTTGACATGTTTTTTGGGAGTCCCCCTTCAACCCACTGCAGTGGCAAAAGGTGAAACCTTGTCACAAATATTAACACTGAACATAACCCCTAATTTCAGGTGCTCCCTTTCACATCGTTACAGCCAGTCAGAGCTCTCGGTGTTTGGATTATGAAGTCTTCCTAGGCAAAACCCTTTAAGAGTTTCCTGTACTACTTAGGATAAAACTTTATTCCTAATCCTGGTTCCCAGCCCACAAGGCCTGTGCCTGCCTGCATCCCCAACCCATGTCCTTCTTGCCAGTTCACTGGTCTTGTGTTCTCCCCCAACATACGTTGCTGGTTTCTACTGCAGGACCTTTGCACCAGCGGGTCCTTCTGCCTGAGTCACTCTGCTTGAAGATCTTTTCACTCTCCCATGTCAGGTCAAATGTCACCTCCCCAGACAGATCTCCTGACCACCTCTCTACAACAGCCTCCAGTCATTCCCTAGCACACACCTTGTCTGTTTGTATCATAGCACGCAGGTCTGTCACATTTATTTGCTGGCTTGTTTCCTTCACCTGCCCCAGCTACAATGTTCCATCAGTTAGGTGCCTCAGTATTTTGTGTATGTCCCAAGCACTTAACATTTGATTGGGACGAAGGACTCAAGGTCACAGGCTTGACTTTCTCTGCTAAACTCTACTGGTTCCCTGCCCAGTCCCGACCAGAGCCAGCCACACCCTAGGGGCCCCCAGCACCAGTGATGATGGTGGTTGGGAATCCTTGAGTGATGACTTGTCAGAAAGTAAACAAGTGACTGTGTGTCATGACAGTTTTTTCCCGGCAGGCAAGCCCAAAGCTTCTTGGATTTCTGGGCCTTTTCTTCACAAGTTTAACTAATGAGGGAATCAACATGACAAACCAGTGCCTAATTAAACATTTTAAACATCTTCAGTGGAGGACAGCTGTTTGTGAAGTCTTGGGTGCATCACTGCCCCTGACTGAATGCTGTTAGCAAGGGTCCTGGTTGAGTGGGTCCTGGTCTTGGTACTATGTAGCCAGAGAGCCCAAACTGGGACTCCAATGAAACCTCACTTCCCCAATAAACAGTGCCCACCACCCTGTCTCTTTTCCTTCTTAGTGCTTGCCAGGTGTTTGATGGTGCTTTCTCCGTAGTGTTGCCCTGTGTATATGCTACTGTCACTAAATGTAAACTTTGTGAAGAGAGAGAGAGAGAGAGACTAAGCTGCTTTGGATTAATGCTGTCTTCCTTGAGTGACAGGTCATTCCCAGAAGCAGCTATCAGTCCTCAGAAGGTTCTAGACATCAAGATAACAGGGCTTCTTTGCCCCTCGCAGACTCAGTGCTCGATGATCTTCAGGATCACCCAGCCCCCACCTGCCCACCGTCAGGGCACACAGCCAGGAGGGGAGTAGCCATTCTTCTGAGTCAGACATGTTCTCCTAGCAGACTTTGGGCACCTGGACTGGTTGGCTGATCTGGGGAAGCCAAGAACGTTCCTGACATGAGGAACCAAAGGACAAAGCCATGGCCAAAAGCACCGGATGTTGGGGGCACAGGGCTTTAGCCTGCAACCACCACCAGTGCTGGCTAAACGCCAAGTTTCTTTCCCCCACAGTCCTGCAAGCCTGTTTCTTACAGATGAGAAACAGGGATGGTAAAGTGGTGAAGTCGGTGAGCAGCCCAGCACTCAATGCTGGCCTGGAGGGTGGAGCAATGGGGCACCACAGGTCAGAGCTTCTGTGTTCTGGGTCTGCTGCTCACAAGCTTTACAGGCCTGGGGCAAGTTGCTTAACCTTTTAGTGTCGGTCTAGATGCTTTCCTGTGAGAAAAACCCAACTGAAAGTAGCTTTTGCAAAATGGGAAATTTACAGAAAATGGGAAGTGCAAAGGCCTTGCTTCAGGCACAGTTTGATCCAGGGGCTGGAGCAATGTCATCATGACTCTGACTCTCTCCAGCCAGCTTATCTGTTTCCCCTGTGCTGGCTTCACTCCAGGCAGGCTCTCCTCCCCAAATGACCAGGATGGCCCAGCAGCTCCAGACTCACAGTCTGCCAGCTCAGCAAACCCCGGGGAAAGAACTTCTTTTTTCTGGGGTTCCAGCACATGTTCTGGCCTTGAATCTTGTCAGTCCAATTGCAGCATATGTACCAACTCTAAGCCCATCTCTTGTCCAGGGGAGAGCTTGGCAAATGAAGAAACCAGGGCTCAGAGACGCCAATTGCTTAACCAAGACCATGCAGCTAGTAAGAAGTAAAGTAGGGTTAAATTCAAGTGTCTGGCCTCAGCATCTGTGTCCTCATCTGGGATGCCTACAGTGTCCCCAAGAACAGCCTGAGCTCTCCAAGGAGTGATAATGACAGTGAGGATGGTACACATCATGACAACCATCACCACGAAACACCACCGTGAAGCTGCACTGCTATGATCCCTATTTGGACAGTGGCACAGAAAGGTTGAACAACTTGCCCACAGTCACACAGGTAAG